ATATATATATATATATATCTTTTCCTAGTCAATATACTAATAATAAGCATATGTAAAACATAGTTATATGCACGGATAATAATATATAAAAGCATAGCTAAACAATAAAAATAAACATAAAAATATATTTATTTACTTACGCATCGCCCTTAGAGCACTGAAGAGAAGCAGAGTCGGAGTCGAAATGCTCTTCGCATTGTTCAGCGCGATATGTTACAGGAAACCTATAAACAAATAAATAAACAAACAAACAAATAAATAAATAAATAAATAAATAAATAAATAAATAATAATAATTAAATAAATAATTGTATTCATTGGGCTGTATATTGATGCATGCAGCAAGCAGAACCGCAACAAAAAGGCGAAGTTAAACGTCTTTTAGGGGTTGTTAGGAAACGTTAGCAGCAGCAGCAGCAGCAGCATCAACAACAATAGCAGTATCAGCAGCAGCAGCAGCAGTGGCAGCAGCACCAGCAGCATGAGCAGCAGCATCACCAGCAACAGCAGCAACATCAGCATCAGCAGCACCAGCAGTAGCAACAGCAGCATAGCAGTATCAGCAGCATCAGCAGCAACAGCAGCATCAGTAGCAACAGCAGCAACATCAGCATCAGCAGCACCAGCAGCATCAGTAGCAACAGCAGCAGCAGCAGCAGGAGCAGTACATTGAATGTGCATGTTATACCGTCTCTTATCTCTGAAGTTATGATAGAAGGGGCAGTACTTTTTATCGTGTGCAGCTGAGTGCTTTTGATGACAAGGAAAGACCTTGAAAGATGATAAGTTTAAGCTGCCTTCTGTATCCCCGCAGCTCCAAGATAAACGAGTGCTCTTTGCTGCTGCTGCTGCTGCTGCTGCTCCTGCTGCTGCTCCTGCTGATGCTCCTGATGATGCTCCTGATGATGATCCTGCTGCTGCTGATATTTCTGCTGCTGCTGCACCTTCTTCCCTGCTGCTGCTGCTGCTGCTGAAGGTAGCAGAGGCATCTCCTTCGTGGGAGATCTTTGCTGCTGCTGCTGCTGCTGCTTCTGCTGCTGCTGCTGCTGCTGCTGCTTCTGCTTCGTCTGCAGGGCCATCTAAAGGAGGAGGCAGCTTTGTGCTGCTGTTGCTGCTGCTGCTGCTGGGGCTTTTAAAGATAGAGCTGCTGCTAAGCACATCGCAGATGCCGCTGCAGTCTCTACCGCTGCAGCAGCTAGAGTTGCTACCACAAGAATCAGTGCTGTTTGCTTCTGTGCTGCTGCTGCTGTAAGCGCGCACGTCTTCTCCCCCAACCTGTTGCTGCTGCAGCTCCTGCTGCTGTTGCTGCTGTTGCTGCTGCTGCTGCTGCTGCTGCTGTTTTGTTTTCTGAGGGGAGATTCGCCCATCTTTAGACAAACTGCTTTGCTTCAAGCACAACTGCTGCTGCTGCTGCTGCTGCTGGCGTGGGTGTTTGTGGAGTTGTGTTTTCTTTGGGGTCAACGGCAGCTGCAGCTGCTGCAGTTGCTGCTGCTGCTGCTGCTGCTGCTGCTGCTGCTGCTGAGCGGTATTAATGTGTTTGCTATCATCATCTTCTGTTGCTGCATCATCTGCATGTCTGTCACGGATTTGCTTCAGGAGGAACTGCTGCTGCTGCTGCTGTTGCTGCTGCTGCTGCTGCTGCAGCGCGAGTCTGCTGAGATGTGCTTCTAATCCGTATGCTTCTGCTGCACCAATTCTTAACTCTTGAGGAGAAGCAGCAAAGCATCTGTATGAATAATCGTGTTTATGTTTGCTGCTAATTAATCGGCAGCAGAAGCGAGCAGGGTGTAGCAGCAGCTCTTCAGGTGTATGACAGAAGCGGCAGCTGCTGCCGCTGCTGCAGCAGCTGCCCCCAGAGTCAAACGAATAGCAGCGACGGTCCCAGTACAAAAGCTGCAGAGTGTGCGGGTCTATAGGGCTCCTCCCTGCAGCAGCAAACACAAGATATGTTTCAAACACTCAACTTGCTGCTGCTGCTGCTGCTGCTGCTGCTCCTGCTGCTGATCCTGATGCTGCTGCTCCTGCTGATGCTGCTTGTGCTCATGGTGCTGCTGATGCTACTCGTGCTGCTGCTGCTGCTGCTGTTGCTACTGCTATTATGGTTTTCAGTGCCGTGTATGCGCTCCTTGTCAGTGCTGCTGCTGCTGCTGCTGCTGCTAATGCTATCTATCTATATATCTATCTATCTATATATCTATCTATCTATTAATGTATATATACATATAGCTATCCCTCTATCTATCTATTTATCTTTCTATCTATCTATCTAGCTAGCTAGCTAGCTATCTATTTATCTATCTATTTAGCTAGCTAGCTAGCTAGCTAGCTAAATAGCTAGCTAGCTAGCTATTGATATGTGTGTTGTTTTACTTGTGGGTCTCCCGTTTTTTGTTTGTCCTACGAAGAGGGTTTGCAGCTGCAGCAACTGCTGCGGATTTTCTTTGCTGATGTCCAGCACAGGCAGGCGGCAGTGCTGCTCTATCTCTTGCTGCAGCTGCTTCTCCTGCTGCTGCTGCTGCTGCTGCTGCTGTTGCTGTTGCTGTTGCTGCTGCTGCTTTTTCTCCGCTTTACCTGCAGCAGATGATGCAGCAACAACGCTACCACTGTTTCTGCTGCTGCTGCTGCTGCTGCTGCTGCTGCTGCTGCTGTCTTTTGCTGCGCTGCTCTTTCTCCCCCTTCCTCTTCCCTCCTTTCCTCTATTATCACCTGAACGGCCGCGCCCTTTACCTGCTGCTGCTGCTGCTGCTGCTGCTGCTG